ACCCTGCTTTCTAAAAGACTTATTACATATATCACAACAAATTTGGTTCACCCCACTATGTATGTGTTCATGTGTCTTCGTATTACTCTGCTGACTGAATGACTTATTTCAATACATCAGAAGAAAATAGCTTCTCCCCACTATGTATGTGCTGATGTGTCTTCAGATGACCCTGCTTTCTAAAAGATTTATTACATACATCACAGCAAAATGGCTTTTCACCACTATCTATGCGTTGGTGTTTCTTCAGAGTACTCTGCTGACAGAATGACTTAATACATACATCACAGCAAAACGGCTTTTCACCACTATGTATGCGCTGATGTGTCCTGAGAGTTCTCAGATCTCTGAATGACTTATAACATACATCACAGCAAAATGGCTTTTCTCCACTATGTATGCGCTGATGTGTCTTGAGAGTACTCAGATCTCTGAATGACTTATTATTAATAAGTCATAAGTGATAAGTGATGTATGTAATAAATTATTACATACATCACAGCAAAAAGGTTTTTACCACTATGTATGCGCTGATGTGTCTTGAGAGTACTCAGATCTCTGAATGACTTATTATTAATAAGTCATAAGTGATAAGTGATGTATGTAATAAATTATTACATACATCACAGCAAAAAGGTTTTTACCACTATGTATGCGCTGATGTGTCTTGAGAGTACTCAGATCTCTGAATGACTTATTATTAATAAGTCATAAGTGATAAGTGATGTATGTAATAAATTATTACATACATCACAGCAAAAAGGTTTTTACCACTATGTATGCGCTGATGTGTCTTGAGAGTACTCAGATCTCTGAATGACTTATTATTAATAAGTCATAAGTGATAAGTGATGTATGTAATAAATTATTACATACATCACAGCAAAAAGGTTTTTACCACTATGTATGCGCTGATGTGTCTTGAGAGTACTCAGATCTCTGAATGACTTATTATTAATAAGTCATAAGTGATAAGTGATGTATGTAATAAATTATTACATACATCACAGCAAAAAGGTTTTTACCACTATGTATGCGCTGATGTGTCTTGAGAGTACTCAGATCTCTGAATGACTTATTATTAATAAGTCATAAGTGATAAGTGATGTATGTAATAAATTATTACATACATCACAGCAAAAAGGTTTTTACCACTATGTATGCGCTGATGTGTCTTGAGAGTACTCAGATCTCTGAATGACTTATTATTAATAAGTCATAAGTGATAAGTGATGTATGTAATAAATTATTACATACATCACAGCAAAAAGGTTTTTACCACTATGTATGCGCTGATGTGTCTTGAGAGTACTCAGATCTCTGAATGACTTATTACATACATCACAGCAAAATGGCTTTTCGCCACTATGTATGCGCTGATGTGTCTTGATATTTGTCAGATTTCTGAATGACTTATTACATACATCACAGCAAAATGGCTTTTCGCCACTATGTATGCGTTCATGCGTCTTCAGATTACTCTGATGATTGAATGACTTATTACATATATCAAAGAAAAATGGCTTCTCCCCACAATGTATGCGCTGATGCCTTTTCAGATTAGTCTGTTTACTGAATAACTTATTACATACATCACAGGAAAATGGCTTTTCGCAACTATGTATTCGTTGGTGTTTCTTTAGAGTACTCTGCTGACAGAATGACTTATTACATACATCTCAGTAAAATGGCTTTTTGCCACTATGTATGTGCTGATGTGTCTTCAGATGATTCTGCTTTCTAAATGACTTATTACATACATCACAGTAAAATGGTTTTTCGCCACTATGTACGTGCTGATGGGTCTTCAGATGACTCTGATGACTAAAGGACTTATTACATACGATGCAACAAAATGGCTTCTCACTATGTATGCACTGATGCACCTTTAGAAGACTCTTACAGCTGAATGACATAGTACACACAATGCAACAAAATGGCTCTTCCCCACTATGTATGTGCTGATGTGCTCTCAGAATTATATGCTGACTGAATGATTCACCACACTCATTGCAGGAATACTGTCGATCCTCCCCATGTATGGGTTGAAGTTCATTCAAATTACCCTGGAAAATGAGAGTAAACAACATGATAAATCCTACTAGCAAGAGAAATAAGCTTGAAGCCTTAATACAGTTAGATGTTAAATCAGCAAGCTTGAGAGTGATAATGGAGGGGGGAAGGAGGGACAGAGAGAGCTGAGTCCATCAGCATGGATGGAGGTTTCTGAGTCAACATTAGGCTGCCCTGTCACTGTTTAACAAATTGCAATATTAAATGAAATTATGCATTTGTAAGGTTGGACAGGTATCCAAATAATAGTGGTTAGGCTCCTAGAATGAAATAACAATAAAGGCTGTATATGTGTGTGTGTGTGTGTGTGTGTNGCGCGTGTGCCACTTCTCGAAGCAGTCCATGACACACAGCGCAACATCACATTTTGTACAATAGAAAATGGTGCTCCTGCTTTTCTTATCCATCAAACACACACAACATCTTTGTTTCCCTTTGGTTGGCCAGTGTTGTGAATGTTTCACCTCCAGTCGACTCAGTTGGGCACCAGATTAACTGGGCCTCACCAGAGAAACGCCAATGACCGTGACATTTGTTTGTGCAATTAAAGGATCATCTTGGCGGAGGGGGGTTTCCAGAAAATTAGAATAATTATATTTATTGACAAAGCGACACTCTCACCTGTTAGTAATACTCGCACAATAGTGATGCAAAGTAATTACATTATTAGTCAAAAAGAGTGACAAGCAGACACTGATACCAAAAGTCACAGTGATGAAGATGCCTCTTACTCACAAAGTAATACTGGTCAATGGGTTTATACCTCTTCTGAGACACAAAATAAAATATTGTGACGTATTTTCATTATGCAGAACCCCCCCCCTTCCAGCGGTGACATAACAGCATCGGAGCAATTGGGGTTGCTACAGTAACAGGCTAGTAAACATTCTGCCCTCCCGCCCCGCAGTGACGTAACAGCACTACACACTGTGACGTCACAGGGGACACTGCCGTTAACACAAGGCAAAAGGGAATGGTATATAAAAACGGCTGATCAGTATGTGAGCAGTATGACTAACAAATGACAGACCCGACCTCTCGGCAGAGAGGGCGCACCAAATGAAGAGGACAGTAACTTTCATATAAGATAAAAGAAAAGAAATCTTGACAGAAACCAACACAGATTGACTGACGAACCGTGAGTCGCAATGTGACTTGGACTTGGATGTGAGCAGTGTGTGATCAGGGGTGACATACTGTTGATCGTGAAGTCGCTGAGAGCACTGGAGGTAACTGAGATACTACCAGTGGCAGTAATTGTGAATTGTAAAAGTGTGCGAGCAAATGTGGAATAAATTCGCTATATTCAATAAGGCGTGAAATTATTTGTTGCGTTACATACCCAACATGTGATTATATATAAAGAAATATATGACAATCTGACACTGACTTTCAAACTGATAAAGAAATATATGACAATCCGACACCAACTTCCTAACCGATAATTCTCTACTGAAAACCAATCCTTGAATATGTCACATTTCCTTGAAAACTCTGGAAGCACTAACATGCGAACACAGATGAATATTTAGTCCTCAGTTCTTAAAAATTTGTGGTCCATTTGGCTGACCACACCATAAACAGTCATATCTAAACGTAAATAGTATTAAAACCAGTAGCGTGATAAACAATTTCATTGTTCAGATCTAACGAATGAACCACTGACATGAACTTGCATGGCTCTGTTTTGGTTTCAAACCAAAGATCAAACTGTCAGCATTCCCAAAGGGAGCATGAGTCCTTTATATAACATTTGGCCAACATGGGGTGCTACTTGCTGTAGATATATATTACATTCATCCATTAAAGATTAAGGGTTAATCAGAACCACTTCTGCTGCTGCAACGAATGTATACATGTAGGGGGACAGCATTTTCAACACCTTCTGTGACCTGTGAACTGCATACTTCATTCCACACGTTACTGGCCACAAGCTTACTGATTCACTAGCAAAATTAGTATGTGTCTTCCAGCCAGTGGTACATCAGTCGTTGTGAACTGGCCGAGAAAAGTAGGAACATATGTAGATGTAGAAAATTTCTTTGATGTTCATTAATAGCCTTATTTATGTGTTTAATTACATGCATTGCATATACCACTTAACCACAATTTTGTCTATATACTTGTATTAGGATATGTTGCCAATGCCAGTTCTTCACTATTGCTCTCTACACCTTTTACACATTCTTTGTATCTAATGTTCAGTCACCTTTCTGTCTGACAGACAACAACAACAAAAAAATCTGTCATGACAACCAGTCACCTGAAAGCAGGTANAGCCAGTTTTTCACTATTGCTCTCTACAACTTTCACACATTCTTTGTATCTAACGTTCAGTCATGACAACCTGTCACCTGAAAGCAGGTACAGGGGCAAATCCAATGGTGTCAGGTATATTAAATTTACTTCAAACAAAGGGCAACAGGTAACACGTGTCTATATTCAGTCACACTTTTCACAAATCTTTAGAGAATCATTAGTTATCCTCTTACAAATCCTCAACATAATGACACCTCTATGTTATTACATGGATACAGACTGCATGGGAGACAGAAAACAAATTATAAACTTCAGCATTTATAGATCCTGGGAACTCTATGACGTAGTACCAAAGCACTGCTTATTGGACTGGACAAAGAAAATTTGAAAAATTTTTCCTGTGTAGAATTTACCGCAAACATTCAGTTTATACAGTATTTCATTTCATCTATATTAGAACTGCTCAAAAGAAAATGGGACTGGTACATCACAAGCAACATTCTACAAACTACAGTTGCCTGGAGACATTTCAGGAAAAAGAAACCTTCAGAATCTAGTCAACAGCGCAGTGGAGCTGTTTCATGTTCACAGACAGACAAGCGGCTTTTCTGTACATTTGTGTCATCTGCCTAACAGCGCACATACAGCTCACCTCTACTTCAGCCTTTATTTCTGGAAATGTTATTGGGACAGGATCCTCTTCCTCTTCTGCATCTGAGACTGCTTCAGCTTTTACATTCATGGCCTGATTTGCATCATGAAGTGTTGGGTATATCTCACCATGTGGAATCACTAAAGCATTCTCCAAATTTGTACAGTTCTGTAAAAAACCATTACATCCTTCTCAGAAATGGATGCACAACACCCTACATTAACCAGCGTATGTTCTTCTTGCTATGTTGATTTCTTGTCACATCTAACTCATAAGAGCTGTTCTGTACAGATGTTCTTCTCTACAGCTATCACGATCACCAGAAAGTACTCGGTTCATAGCTCAGTGACCTTCCCGAGGAACTAATAGTCACTGCGGCAATACAGAAAATATCTCCTTTTTTGCTACCTTAAAACATCATAATGAAGAGTTCCACAACTTGTAACCTTCATTCACCAAGCATAATTATATGATAAAGTCAAGAAGGATGAGATGGGCGAGAAATGGAATGCATACAGGATATGTTGACAAAGCCAGAAAGGGCTCATTACTGTGATCACACATGCTCATCATGACTCTGTATTCTAAGGCAAACAGACACAGCAAAAACCCTTCCAAATTACTTCTTTCAAATCTATCTTAATAGCATCTCCCCATCCTCACTTAGGTCTCCCAAGTTGTCTGCTTCTCTCAGGTTTTCCCTTCAAAACTTTGTATGCATTTCTCACTGTTCCATGTGCACTGCATGACTTACCCACATCTCTCTCCTTGAACTCATTGCTCTCCTAAATAATATCCCAAACCGTTATCACCCAAGTGTACAAAACTCTCAACATGGATCATGCAAACATACAGAAGTGTTTCACAAAATATTTAGTTACTTTGGTCAACACAACTGACATACTCGTACAATACAATTCATATCTGTGCACAGAAGCACAAAACACTCAGAATTCATTCGCTTACATCAGGAAACTTTTCTTCAGCTCTATACAGTACAATTCTTGCCACTCCTGTTGCAAGAGAATGCAGAATCTTTAGTAACCTTGAAACCTGTTCATCACATTATAAATATCTTGTGGGTTCATTGGAATTAGCTCACAAGGGTCCTAGTAACTTATTGGTTCTAACAATACCACTGACAAATTGTGAAGAGTTCTGTGACGCCCTAAGGATTTTTGCTGCTATAGAATTTCTCTCAGATACAGTTCTGTTTATGCAGAATTTAATTTCATCTGCATCAGAGCTGCTTAAAAGGAAACAGAAGTGGTACATCACAAGCAGCAAATATGCAACAAACTATAACTGTCTAGAGACACTTCAGAAAAAGGCCTTCAAAGGCGAGTCAGCAGCATATTTGAGTTGTTTCAAGTGCACAGACAGACAGACAGACAAAGATGAGAAAAACAACTGGAATTCCTGCGTATTTGTGATATCTGCCTAACAGTGGATATACAGAAACATACAGCTCACCTCAGGATTAGCCTTTATTTCCTGAAATGTTATTCACACAGGATCAGCTTCCTCTTGTGACTCTGAGACTTCCTCAGCTTTTATATTCATGGCCTGGCTTGCATCATGACTTGCTGGGTATGTCTCACCATATGGACCCACTACAACCTTCTCTGAATTTGAACAGTTCTGTGAAGGCATGACATCTTCAATCAGTCATGGCTGTACAACACCATACATGAAACAATAATGCTCACCTTGCTGTAGCTGTTTTTCATTACATCCAACCCATAACAGCTGCTCTGTACAGATTTCTTCTCTACAGACTTCATAATCTTAAGTTCATAACGCAGAGACCTTCCTGAGAAACCTATGGTGCCTGTGGAAGTACAGAAAATACATATCTGCTCTTTATGGAACCTAAGCACTCATTACTGTGTTCACAAACCCATCATGAATTTGCATCCTGACACAAACGTAGTCCAAAACCCCATAATTGTATCTTTAACAAAATCCATCTTCACAGTTGTCTCCTAAGGGATCTCACTCATTCAGGTCCTTTGTCAAAATTTTTGTATGCATTTCTAATTCTCACATGCGTGCTATATGACCTACCCATATGACAATATGAGCAGCCGTTCATAGGAACTGAACCAGCTTGCGGCATCTCAATTCAAGTTGCCAAGAAAGCGATTAGAGACTGGACTGATAGAAACCATAAAAAATACTGGGAATCCATAATTGGACTCAGACAGGCTAAGTGTTTTACAGCAGGACCCTCTGCCAGATGAACGAAGGATCTGTTGAGATTAAACAGAGATCAACTAAGATGGGTGGTAGGATTACTTAGCAGATACTATCACCTGAAAGGACACCTTTTCAAGGAGGGACTGACAGACAACCAAACCTGTGAAAGGTGCCTACAAGAAAATGAATCAGCAGCACACATCCTGTGTGATTGTGAGGCCGTAGCTTATTCAAGATTTTGTCACTTGTGACTATTATGACAACCCCATAAGCAGGGTCCTACTCTTTATTAAAAGTGTAGAATTAATAAAGGGCTAATCCAAGGGGAAACACAATAGTTCATTGAATGATGCAGTGTGGGGGGCTGTCTTAATGGCCTAACCCTTACATACATACATACCCATATCACTCTCCTTCAATTGATCCGTCTCGCACATAACAATGCAAAGTGTTACAATATGAAGAACCATGTAAACTCCCCAGATGGCTTATGAAAACTAACACAAGCTTGGCATAATAAGTTTAGTTTCCACGTGAACTGACTGATAACGATAAAATTCTTCTCTGGGCACACAAGCACAAAACACTCACCATCCTTTCTGTCACAGTAGGAAATGTTTCTTCAGCTCTCTGTAGCAGAATTCTCGGCATTCCTGTTGCAAGAGAATGCAGAATCTTTCATAGCCTTGAAACTTTATTTTATCACACAAGATGCTTTGTCGGTGGCAAATTAATTCATTTACAAACATCCTAGTGATATAGCATCATATTTCTAACAAGTATACCATTAACTAGCTCTGAATATTTGCCCACATCTGTAAGCAAACATACTAATTATTGTGAACAAACACACACTGACGCGGACTACTTTCTTCTAACAGAAGAGGCAGGCAGAGATTGCTGAAGCTTGATGTCTTATTACACGTTGTGTAGTCTTTATCACATTGTTGCTCAGTTTTGAAGGCAGTTAGTTCACCCGTTTTGAGTCAACCTCTTTCTTCCAAAACGTGGGTAAGTGACTACCAGACTGCACGGAATTACTTCCTAGAAACAGCACAACCACTCTACAAATTTACATCGCAGAGCCGCAAAAATGCACTTGTTTGTACTGCAACTTCAAGCAGTTCAATATAGATATTTCCTGATAGACTCAAATTTTCTGAGATAAAACCTATATACAAGAATGGTGATAAAAATCTTATCAATAACTATAGACCCATATCATTATTGACTTCTTTCTCTAAGATATTTGAAAGAGTGCTGTTTGCAAGACTTTGTCATCATCTGACTAACAATAACGTGTTGGCGAGTGAACAGTTTGGATTTCGACCTGATTCTTCCACTGAAAAGGCTATCAATAGACTGCTTGGCCAGATTTTAACTGCCCTAAATGTTGGTCAAAATGTGGGCGTAATATTTTGCGACTTGAGAAAAACAAGATCTTATTGTCTAAATTGGAATTTTATGGCATTACGGGACCGATGCATAAAATAATAGCATCATATCTTAGAGGAAGATTTCAAAGAATAAGACTACAAGCTAAAGACTATAATTTGAATATTCGTTCTAGTTGGGGTGTAATCTCACATGGTGTCCCACAGGGATCAATTTTGGGACCCCTTTTGTTTTTGATTTATATTAATGATTTACCCTTAGTATTAAATAGGATTTCTTCTCCTATTCTTTATGCAGATGATACTAGCGTAATTATATGTAATCCGGATCCTCTAAATTTTCTTCACAATGTGACTGAAGTTTTCAATAAATTAAATTCATGGTTCAATGCCAATTTATTATCTTTAAATTTTTCTAAAACCGAATTCATTAAGTTCAAAACAAAAAATATATACGAGCACGCTACTAAGATAGTATATGATGATATGGAAATTTCTATGAAGAAAGCAGTCTTCTGGGATTTGGCACCGTGTATATGTGGTGTTAACCGACGTTTCGGAGGAACGTATCGCCCCCATCTTCAGGGTTGAAGAAGTATAGGTAAATCTGCAAGCGACAACACCGTGAGACACGGTGTCTCACGCTATTGGGTATTAAGATGTGCACGTTTCCAAATAACTGTGAGACACCTCGCTCTTCAACAACAAATATGGAAGACTGGAAATCACTCCGAAACTAAAAACTACACGAGGTCACAATCACTTTTCTAACCTGAAAAAGGAGGAAAGATGTTCCACCGAAAGGCTGACACCTATGTACCAAACAGCACAGCCTCATAATCGTAGAAGAAGAGCAGTCTTAATGAGAATATCTATGACTCGCGATCCTCGCGATTCGCTGTTAGTACGATCAGGGAAAGAGTAGCCTACAAAACGACTTCAATGAAAGCCATGTCACTCATTTGTGTTCGTTAATTTAAAATAAACGTTTATGAATGCGTGACGTAGCAAGCGGCACGCGCAAAAGTTCTGGGGGTCTTGATGGAATAGTCAGGTCGGTGTGCGGAGACAGAAAGAGAATCCTCACGCGGTGGATACTAACTTCATAGAGCCCTGGACGTCGGAGCGTCCGCAATATTTTGAAAGGAATTTCTGCTTCATTGATTTGGATGACTCATTTGCGTACACAGAAAACATCGCATTCATTGTAATGCCATCTGAAAAAGTGTTTTGCCTTTCTAGATTACCTTCGTGAAGATTCTTTATGACAAAGGTTTTCTGATTTACGCCGAATGCTCCTCTAAATTATAGGTACACACGATTTGGTTAAAGCTTAGACTCACTCTTTATCTCTCTGCCTGTGGCTGTACAGCCCTTTCAACCTTGGCAAATTTTTCAGTTTCTTAATCCTATACACAGACGGCAGGACTCCTTGGACGAGTGATCAGCCAATCGCAAGGCAGCTACCTACATACAGAACAACACAAACATAGAATAAACGCACACAGACTTCCATGCCTCGTATGAGATTCGAACCCACGACACAAATGTTCTACAGGGCGAAGACGATTCATGCCTTAGACTGCGCGGCACTATGATCTGCCGTTCTTAAACCCATTCAGTCATAATTATGCTTTGATGAGTGTTCGTAGCAGCTGGTATATATTTCTGGAAATTTCCTGCCTTGTGTGGAACTTGACGGTACATTACCATAGTCACGTTAGCATGCCATTGGTCCCTATACCGAGGCAGTTTACATTCCCCGGGCTGTTTCTTTAAGATCAATTCTCACCTATCCATGATCTCTTCCCTTTAAGTTTTCTGACTGAAAATTTTATGCCCATTTCTTGCATCTCCCGTGCACTCAATGGGTATTCTATAGAACAGAAAATATTATGCGCTGTCGGGTGCAAAATTTAGCATTCTGAATGTACAATACTGATGTGAATTTTACAGATGAACAGTGTATACGGCAGTTGATACAGGACTTATATGGGTGACATCATCCTTGGAACCATTTGTTGGGTAGTGTTAGTTAATTAATCCACTTAGGGTTTCATCTGGTAACCAGAATAAGCATCGGTTATATCTCTTCACATGTAACAGGCAGATCTATGTGTGAGATGGTTTTCTTGGAGGTAGGAACCAGGGCCCTCTCCAGTCCATATGCCGTCCCAGGTGACAA